TTGGCATACAAAATGGCCAAGCGAGGATTCAGCTTGATGGCATCTGTGAATAAGTCAATGGCTTTCTGCAATTCACCATCATTTAGGGCTTCAATAGCAACCACTTTCTTATCATTTGCCTGATCTATCATCTCCTCTGTTATCTCTGCATTTTCATCTCCCATTTCTTGAGGGGCATCAGTGTCTGGTTCAATCACACCTTCATTATCAATTTCTAGATCACTTTCCTCACTTGATGGTTCGTCTGCCTTTACGTCTTCCTCTACCTTCTTACTATCAGGTTTTTCTTCCTTGGCGTTTTTTTCTGATTTAGCTTTCTGAGTAGCAGGTGGTATTTTACCCCCCATACTCTCCACCCACTCCCTCAGGAAGTGCATTTCTTCGGTGTGCAGAATGCTTGGATCCTGCCTACACATCTTCACAAAGGCCTGAAGCTCGTTCACTTTGCGGGGGTCCATGGTCAGGAGGTGGTGGGCGAAGCTAAGGGTCTGCGGCCCGCTTCCAGGCCGAGGTGCTGGCTTGGCGTTTATCTGTTTCCAGCCATTGAACTAGAATGGAGGAAGTGGTGAGTTAATTGTTATCAAGTGCATTATAATGGTACTATTTTCTAGTTGGAATCCACCATTTTTATGTCTGATTCTTGATTATTTTTCAGGAACTAACACAACAATTGGCACATTTTTTAAGTGAAATGTGATTTATTAAGCCTGCATGTGAGGAGCATGCTAAGTGCCAAGATGTCAGGCAGAATGTCACAAGATACTGATAAGTCTTCCAAAGATGGAAAAATATTGCTCAAGAGAAATACTCTTAGAGAATAAGGTCACAGTGGTAGGCTGATTTCTCTATTGATAATGTCTTTAGATGACAGGATGGTAAAAGATGGCTGAAATTGAGAGAGGACTGTGAGAGAATGAAAGTAGGATAATGTTTGCTCCTAACTTTTATCAGCTTTGCTCAAAAAGATATTCTTTAGTGCTCAGCCAGAGATATGCATAGCCATCATTCTATGTGCTGGCATGATTGGTGTCTTATCTCTGAATTAATCCAGAGAGAACTATAATGTGCAATGGCAACTTGAACATCCAATCTTAGTACATATATCAAGGACATCTTTCTATTTATGTTGTTCAACTATGCTTGAAACTACTTTTCATTAAGGAACTTCACAAAGACTGACTCACAAAAGAAGTTGCGTTTCAGGCAGTGCCACTTCCCTGTCACAATTCACCATTAACTTTGGTAGAACAGCTTGCATTTGCTTCAGTGGGTCAGACACACCTGGACTACTTTTGAAGGAAATGACAATTTGTCTTTCTTTGTTCAGAGATAAAGAAAACCCCCTTTAAATAGATTCACAAGAAAAAGTTGGGGAATTGGTAAAACAACCCTAGGGTTTTTGGTTTAGTTTTATTGAATTTATTTCTCAAAGGAAGCTGAATTCTAGATGGAAGTCTTGTCACGAATGTCCTTTATTATTATTAATTATTATTTTAATGAGCTGTTCAGCAATGCAGTCAGGATAGACATTTTCAAAAAGCCTGAGCTAGCAGAGTGTGGTGGTTCATGCCTATAATTTCAACTTTTTGGAAGGCTAAGGTGGGAGGATGGCTTGAGGCCAGGAGTTTCAGAACAACTTGGGCAACATAGAATGACACTGTCTCAAATAAATAAATAAATAATCTTTTTTAAATTGCTGAGCGGATTGGTTGATTTGTTAGGAATGGAAAACAAATGTTCACACCCACCAATGCATCTTACACAGAAGGCTCCCCTCCCTGCCAACGGTAACCCTCTTTCCTCAGCTCCACTATCTTCTCACAATAGTATTCTGGAGTCACAAATCTGCTTTCTCCACTCTTTCTTCTCTGTCTTCTTTCTCACGGAGGTATGAAGATTAAAAATTGATCTGTTGTTTGTGTTTAAAATCTGCTACCCAGTTCATACAGAAGCAGATAAAGGTGTCTCATTGCTTTTCTGGATCATTCTACATAGTATCATGCTTCTCAAGATTTGGATGTGATTCATTTCGTAGCACAATGAAACTCAAACACTCTCAGGAGGCTTGCACTATGGTTGGCAAATGAAATCAAGCCCAGAAATATGAGAAGTGTCTGAATTTTCTTTTAGGGAAAGGAGTATTGAGTGGGAACCAGACTTTCTGAGGCATAACCTCAGCTCTAGGATTAATGCACTGTTTCTTCAGGAGTTAGAGCTCACCATTTCTCTAAAATGAAGAGGCTGGATTAGATAATTTCTGACAGCTATTCCAGGCTTAAAAGTGATTTCTAATTATAATATATTTGGGAAAAGTTCACAACTTGGTCATTTCTCTCAAATGACAGGATCTGACACATAAGATGCTCACAATAAATATTCATCAGAAGAACAGATGTGTGGATGGATGGATAGATGGATGAATGGCTAAACAATTTAAGTGCTTATTGTTAGCATTAATTACATTATTAGCAACTCATGGCCTATTGGCTTAAAATAGCCCACGAGTTTAGAAAATTGTTTCCATTCCTTGCTCTTTGTAAGCTCTTCCAGGGGCTAAAACTTTACAGAGAACTGTGATGGTTAATTTTTTGTGTCAACTTGATTAATTTGTGGTGCTCACTTGCTTGGTCAAACACCTGTCTAAATATTGCTGTGAAAGTATTTTTTTATATGTGATTAACATTTAAATCAGTAGGCTTTAATGAAAGCAAATAATCTTCCATAATGTGAGTCACCCTCATCTAATCAATATGAGACAGCCATGCATAAAGTGGTTCCTGGAGAAATTCTGACCAGCCTGCACACTGGGAGAACATGGTAGAGCCATGGAAGTTCACGCCCTTTGCAAGGGGGAGGATCCTGGTCTTTCCTGTTCTGGAGTGGAAACTGGAATTCAACCTGTGAGGTGGGAAGCCTATTAGCAGGACTCTGTCTTTGCTGAAAGTCCCTGTATCACTATTTTTTTCCTTTTTCCACAATAAACCCTGCCTTTCTCATCCTTCAAAGTGTCTGTGAGCCTAGTATTTCACGGTCATGTGACAAGGACCCAGTTTTTAGCAGAACTAAGAAGAAAGTTCTATAACAAAATGATGACCTTAAGAGCAAAGTCTGTGGTCCCCCAAGGAGGAAGGAATTCTATCTCCAGACTGCCTTCAGACTGGAACTGCAAAATCAACTCTTCCTTGGGTCTTAGACTCTTGACTTACAAAATTTGGGTTTGTCAGCCCCCAAAATAATGTAAGCCAGTTTTTTAAAACCACTCTGTCTTTCTTTTTCCCCTACTCCAATTTCTATTGGTTCTATTTATCTTAAAGTCCTTTCCTATTACAATACCTATATATGTTTTTGACAAGAGAGGCATGGTTAGTATGTGTTCTTATTTGGATGCTCAAAATATCATTCCATTAGCTTTAAAGGATATAGTATCTCACCTTCTGTAGCATCTTGCTGCTACATCCACTTTCTGTGACATCTCATTTCCTGTAACCTCTTGCTGCTACATCTACGTCCAATAGCATCTCACTTCCTATGATATTTTGCTGCTACATTTACTTCCTGTAGCATCTCACTTCCTGTAGCATTTCATTTCCTGTAGCATCTCACTTCCTGTAGCATTTCATTTCCTGTAGCATCTCACTTCCTGTAGCATCTCACTTCTACATCCACTTCCTTAGTATCTTATTTTCTATAGTATGCTGCTGCTATGTCCATTTTCTGGCTTACAACAATGTTTGGGTCATTAATCTCAACCTTTTCTACCTCATTTATTCTTCCTTGTGAAAATTAAAAACCACAACAAATGTTTGTTGTTAGTAAAAGAAGTCAGAAAAAAACTCCCGCTTGAACACCAGTGGCAATCCATTCAAAGAAAAATAAGGTAGGAAGATTTATCTCTATGATCAAAGATCATTTAGTTCTGCATCTCCAGCATCAAGCAATGTATGAGACATAGAGTGTCCTCAATGAAATTCTGTGAAATTAATGGATGTGATGGCTTCAAGTTTTGTTTGAGTTAGTCTCTCTTCTTTCATTATTCCTCTTCATTTTTAACCTTCCCTTAGGCTCCTCATCAACTTTTTCCTCTTGTCTTTTAAGGGTAAAATTGTTTTTAGTGTTTGGAACATATCTTTTTCTCCACTTTACTTTATAAACCCTTGTGGGCTAATCTCATCTACCTAGCATATACAGTTAGATTTTTAAACACTATTTCTATTCCCACATTCCTTAAGAGCTCTAGAATGTCTCAGGGAATCCCCATACCTAAAATGAATTAATAACTCCCTAGCTCTTTCCTCGTGAGTGTGGGTATTGCTGTGTTAGTGATTATAACATTGTGTCACAAATATTGTTTTTAATCTCTTGCCCATCGCTAGCGTACATTTTCCTGGAAAATAGGAAATGTTCAGGATTTAGTACACAGTACAGTTTATTTAACATGCAGCTGGTTAATTGATTATGTGAGTTGATTATATTCATATGTCTGAGCTTTCTTTGCAAATAAAAGATTTGATGGTTATGTATTCTAGGTGAAAATGGATACATTTAAGGAACAATATTCACAGAGAGCCATGACAATAATTCCTATTTAAAGTGTAAAAATTCACAAAATATAGGCACAATAATAGCTATAAATGTCAAAGATCATGCCAAATTCATGTGTATTGCACCAATATATTGAGGTGTTTGGATGACAATACTGAGTGATGGCACTATTTTAGATAAATTGGCTGTTATAAAAGGACCATTTTGAGGGACATTCCTACGTTCCTACAAGTAAATAGCCTTCCTACTACAGAAGTAGACACTTAACATAACGTGAGTTTCTTTCTGAACATTAATTTATTTGTCACAACAAGACTGTGGGGTAGATATAATGCCCCTGGTAAACCTGAGTTTCTGCAATATTAAATAGCTAACTTGTGGTTTCAGAGCATTTAGATGGTAGAATTGTGCTCTCCACTGCTTTGCGTCTAAGATCAAAGCTTGGTATGATCTGTTCTTCTTGGAAGCCTCATAGAGACATGGTCAGGGCTGCTGTCATTCTAACCAGGCAGTAGCTCTACAGGGAGATGGATCACGCATTCATTTTGTTTTCTCTCTTCACAGCATTGGACACAGTGCCATGTATTTGAGAAGTACTCAGCAATCGTATTGCACGTTTCCAGGTCTGATAGACCCTGGGCTATCTTCCAAAGTTGCCACCTGTGTGCGATGACTTGTGTAATTTACTTCTTATGATTGCTCAATTTTGAACTGCACAATCTTTTTTTGATGTTGCATCCATTTTCTATTTAGATCTATAGTGATAGACAGATAGATATAGATGCAGACTTATTTTTGTTCTCTTTACACTGTACTTGGACCACATAAATCTGGACATGGGAGTGGAGAGAAAAGGGTAGGAAATGCACTGCCAGCAGGCAGAACATGAGACCCGGTATGTGTCCCCAGTTAAAGAATATTGAGTCAGTCTGTTCTAACTCCTTTACAGAACTGCCAGTCATCAGAGAGAAGACTTTC